GCTCTGGTGCCACAATAAAATACAGTTCCCATGATTCCTTAACTCTAATTCAGTTCCCTGTCAGCATCAATAGTAAGATAAAAAGTATCATTATCATCTTAGGCTTAATTTTAATAAAACTGGACTGGTGACATTGATATTATGGATTACTAGAACAAACTAAACAATAAATTTGAAAATTAAAGGGATGTACAATTATTCAACCAATAACTGGACCTTTCATTCTTAATTGTTAGTCTATTAATTGAAGCACAACTGAATAACCGTGCCTTAGTCTGTCAATTTATACAGCCAATATGTGAAATGTAGCCATTCACATGTGAATAATATGTATTGATGGATGAATTCACAGCATGGTGAACACAATTCTAATTAGACCATGCAGGGCTGTGAAGAGAAATTGTACAAACCATACATACATTTCTAGAAGTTCTGGCAACATGTTTTGTTCTTCTTAATTCTTGCAAATATTTTATAAATCAAAAGAATATGTATTTTTAATTCTTCCTACTTTCTACAGTCCTTCAGCTTCCCATTGTTAAAAACAAGAATAGCTCTCTTAGATTGTGCATTAGATTTCTATTTTCCCCTGAGCAGGAGGAGGAAGAAAAAGAGGAAGGAGCAGCAGAAATCCTCAGAAGTTTCAACTGAAATTAAAGATTTGTCATATTTAGGCTCTACTAAATATAAGATTCAGTGGTAGGAAAGTTGCATTAATAATTTTAAGGATATCAGGGAAGAAAACAATATTCAGCAAAGTGTCCAGAAGCTCACTCATGGAAACATTCAAAGATAACTTAAAATATTAGTGTAATAGTGTATTTTTAAATATTTTGTTTGATTATATTTTCTTATGTTATGTTCCACCCTTTCCGCCCCTTTTATATTTATTTTATTTTGTTTTTTGTTTTCTCTTTATTTCTATGTGTAATTTATTAAATTCTTTTTCAATATTCTTTGGTGTTAATGTTGTCTTTACTATCTTGTTTTTTGTCTTCTTCTTCCTCAGTTTCTTCTTAGCTTTCTTCTTCAGGCTCTTGTTCTGAGTCTTGATCGACTTCCAGTTGCTTTGTTATCTTTGCTTGTCTTTCTACATATTTTATTTGATTATAACAATAGTACTTACCATATTTTTAATTGATTTTTGTGGGCACATTTGTATTCAAATGTGCCCACATTCAAATGTGTCGTTTTTCCTTTGTTACTCCATCGGCCTCCTGTGTTGCTTGGGCTGGTTAACTGCTATTGTTTTGTTTGTTTTATGTAGTAGCTTGTTGTTTTAATTTTTTCTTCTGTTTAATACTGTTTTAAGGGGGAGGGAGGAGGGATTTGGGTTGAGATTGTTTTTACATTGTCTATTTTAACTTATGTAACCCGCCTCGATTGCCGAGCAGAGAGGCGGGATATAAATAAAAATTATTATTATTATTATTATTATTATTCATGCAAAGTCATCATTTATGTTAGCCATAGTTTGTTGCTTGAGTCTTGAATTGTCAGTGGTTTTTTTTCTGTTTCTCTCTCTCTTTCACACACACACAGACATGCACACACAGTAACATGAAGATACCTCTGGCTCTGAACAGAACAACCAACCCTTGTTTGAACAAACTGAAATTAATAGCCTTTAACAAATCATAGCTTCAAATGGCTAAATGTTTTCTAGTTTCAAACATAAAAATTCAAAAACGTCAACCTGATTTATGTTTGTGTGAGATTCTGAACTATATTTTCCTTCAGTGTCCAATGGTTAAGGGAAATTACTGTTGATTGGGAGGGATAATTAACCACCACCCCCTAAAAAGATAATTAAAAAAAAAACCCACAGAAACCAATGGTTTTCAGATATTTGAAATGAACCTGTCAGAGTAGTACTGATTTTGTTGATCTAGGTACTTCCTAATTACTGTGCCTCTGATACAAAGAATCTCTGTCCTTATGAAGTGGATTTGGTTTACTAGTTAAGGTCATGTGATGACCACATGGTAAAAAAAAGCCCTTGGGATAAGTGGATAAGTGATGACAACCAGATCACAAAGAATTATTAACTCATGTCTTCCATTCACCCTACATATCAGCCATCAAGCATACATAGGGGGGATGCAGATGGGCAGCGGTGGGCCAACCTGGGAAGTGGTGGATTGGGGCCAAGGCTGCCCCATGCCTCAGCCCCGATCCTCTCTTTCGCCACCTGGGAAAGGAGCTCTTTTGCACCTCTTCCAGCTCAGCATGTCCAGACACCGAGCTGGAAGGGCAGGCACTTCGATGACGTCCTTGGGAAGGGGTTGGGGCACCCGGCATGTGGCTGCCCCTCCCCTTCCCTGCCTCCAAGACAGCGCTTTGCACCATCTGCAGAGGCCCTTAGTCTTAGGGGGGAAGCACACGAGCGCTTCCAGGATGCCGCCGGATGGAGTGCTCCTTTTAGAAGACAGGGAAAGTGTGCCCTAAAAGCGTAGGGTGCACTTTCCCTGGCTTTTCCGCCGCAGCATGTGAGGACGCTGCAGCAGGAGGTTGCCTCCGGAGCGCCGGCCGTGCGGAGGGCCGGCAGCTCCGAGGGCAACCTCGGGAAGAGGAAGGGGCGCTGCGCGTGTGGCTGCCCCTCTTCTTCCAGGCCTCGGAGACGACTTTATTAATCGTCTGCCGAGGCCCTTAGTCTAGGTACTGATTTTGTTGATTTTTGTTGAAGGGAGCTCACCTGTGGGGTTCCACAGGGTGCTATTCTGTCTCCGATGTTATTCAACATCTATATGAAGCCGCTGGGTGAGATTATACGGGGTTATGGAGCTGGGTATTATCAGTACGCTGATGACACCCAAATCTATTTCTCCGTGTCTCATTCGTCGGCCTCGAATTCCAATGGCATCTCTTCTCTCAATGAATGTCTTTGGGCGGTAATGGGCTGGGTAAGGAAAAATAGATTGAAGCTGAATCCTGACAAGATGGAGGTGCTTATGATAGCGGCCCCGAAACCAAGAATCGGGTTGCAACCTCCAGTCCTGGATGGGGTCACACTCTCTTCCAGTGACTGTGTTCGCAGTCTGGGGGTGCTCCTTGACTCATCACTCCTGATGACGAATCAGGTAAATGTGACAGTCAGGAGCGCCTGTTATCAGCTTCGGCTGATACGCCAGCTGTGCCCTTTTCTGGAAGTAAGGGATCTCAAGACTGTTGTTCACACACTGGTAACCTCATGCCTAGATTTCTGTAATGCGCTCTACATGGGGCTACCCTTGTGCTTGGTTCAGAAACTACAGCTAGTGCAAAATATGGTAGCAAGATTAGTATCAGGAACATCCAGGAGGGACCACATTACTCCAGTACTAAGGTCCCTCCACTGGCTCCCTGTCAGCTTCCGGGGTCAGTACAAGGTGTTGCTTATCACCTTTAAAGCCTTAAATGGCTTCAGTCCAAACTATCTTAGGAACCACCTTCTCCCTTATAATCCTCCCCGCACTCTCTGGTCCTCTGGGAGGAA